AAAGAAAGAAAGAAAGAAAGAAAGAAAGAAAGAAAGAAAGAAAGAAAAAGAAAATTGCCTCTTCAAAAAGCACCTTTGACCGAGAATCTCTATAGACAAAGGTAGAGTTGTAGACTGCCATGCCTGACCATATAAAATAACTATTGGAGGTGGGAAAGTAACCTGACTAGATAATTCCACCAAATTATTGTCTCCAACACAGCTTCAGGTGGTCCTCAACTTAAAACAGTTCATTTAGTGAAGATAGGACGACACTGACAGCTGTTTTTCACACTTACGATTGTCGCAGCATCCCCATGATCACGTGATCGAAATGCAGACGCTTGGCAACTCATTCATATTTATGACAGTTGCAGGGTTCCAGGGACATATGATCACCTTTTGTGACCTTCTGACAAGCCATGGGAAAGCCAAGTTTGCTTAACAAGCGTGGTACAAACTTAACTGTGGCAAGAAAGGTAAAATGAGGCAAAACTCATTAACTGTCTCACTTAGCAAAATAAATTTGGGGCTCAATTACAGTCATAAGTTGAGGACTACCTGTACTTCCTTGGGGTAGCAATTACCAAGACTGGGTTTATCTTCTCTAAATATGCTGTGTCACATTTATCCTCGAATAGAAGGTAAGGAAATTCTATGTAACATATATAGGAGTACTTCCAATATTTGGATAGAAAGATAGGGTATAAATCAAATAATATTAGTGACATCAATTGTAGGGGAAGGTTGGATTGTTGGGTGACTTGAGATGAGTATTCTTGAGAGTCAGTTTGGTCTACTGCTTAAGGCATCAGACTAGAAAGTAGGACACTATGAGTTCAATTCCTGCCTTAGCCATGAAAGCCAACTGGGTGACTTTGGGCCAGTCACTCTCTCTCAGCCCAACCCACCTTAGAAGTTGTTGTTGTGGGGAATGTTGGAGATGTGTTTTACTGCCTTGGGTTATTTGTAAAAATAATAAAAGATGGGATATAAATAAAGTAAAATAAAATTGTAGTTTCTAACCCCACTTACGTATCCCACCTGTCTTGGTTTTCTCTAGCCAAAGTCTACAGGCCAATCTCCAGGAAACTTGCTCATTGAAAATCTATGCATGAGAGCAGTCAACCAGTCAATAGGTAAAGGACGCTGTTGGTTATAAAATACACCTCTAGCAATAAGGGGTTTTGTGAGAAGTCAGATGGAACCTGGTTACCTCATTGCCAGCTTTAAACATGGAATCACTCCCAAGCAATTGATCAGGGAAGTTTTGAATTAGGAATTGTTGATCTTTTCTGTTACGTGTTTATCCTGCAGTAGTAGTACTGTGTACATTTTTCATACGAGCTTCTGTGCAAAGTTGGCTCACTGCCATCAAAGTAATGATATAGAATGGCCAGTGATCAGTTAGGTCATGCACATAAGAGGATCCTGGATTCATTCCTATGCAATGCTTGAGTAATGAGAGGAGAAAAACCTTTGCTTCTGATTACGGACAACTGCTGTGGGCAAGATGGATGTGCTTGAAAATGAAACGGTGCCTGCTGGAATTGGGACTGTGTGTGCAATCAACCTGCTAAAAATGATAGAGAGAAGAATTTAGGAGAAAACAGCAGAAAGAAACTCCTTTCTCCTACTTTGTTTCATATGTTCATAATCTAGATTTCTGTCTTGCTAAGTTTGGGCACAGAAATATCAGTAGGTTTATCAATATAAAATATTCTTAGAGCAAAATTTGTTTTATTCATCACTCAGACAGCAGTTTCAATGTAACAGCCTTCTGCACTCGGAATGCCTTCCAGATATGTCAATTTCAACTTCCAGAATTCTCAGCAGTAGAAATTGTGGCTGGGAAATTCTGAGAGCTGAAGTTCACATGTCTGAAGGTTGTATTTGCCATTCTTTGCCCTAGTCACCTCGAGGGAGGTAATATTTGTATGTCAATCTCGTGCTGCCTGGGGAATTCTGAGAGCTGAAATTCATGCGTCTTCAAGTTGGCACGGTTGAGAAACACTGCTTTAACAGTTTGCCCAGTGACTTCTTTCAATTGAATTTAATTCTCTGTTAGCCATTAGTGTGACAAGGACAAGTCGGGGTGGCCATATAAATGGATTAAATAAATAAGATGGTTTGCTTTTGCAGGAAGGGCAATTCGGCATCAAAAGGACTTTGCCAGTATTGTGCTTTTAGATCACAGATACACACGCCCAGCTGTTCTCAACAAACTTCCTCAATGGATTAAAAGCAGAACCCAAATCAAGGATAGGTTTGGACCGGCTTTTGCAGCACTAAGAAAAGTAAGTCCCAAATCAGACTCCCATTTGCAAATTCCTATGAAATGATATCATCCTAGAGAGTATCCAGGCATCAATCAATCAAAGCTAGACTCTTTTAAGATTCGTTTTCCTGCTGTTGAAATGTGCTCATTATCTGGATTGACTTTCGTCACTATATGCTTCGTGTAATTCCTAATTTCTGTCTTGCAGTTCCATTGGGAAAAGAAATCCAATTCCATGTCTGTCTCTTTGTGAAGAATAAGAGATCTACTCAAAGCTGCTACCTCCGCCTGTGCAAAATGTCTCCTGTGTATTTAAATGCATTACACTTGTATTGTGTGATCTTAATCTTGAGTATGTTTTTTTCTTCTTCTAGTCACTAAAATAGTTTTCTGAACTCACCATGCTAAACTAAATTAAGGTTGGAAAAGGGGGTGCTTTTCTTCTCTTTATGGTGGAAATTGAGTTCTCCACTGAAAAGGTTTGGATAGGAACCTTGTTTTCCCTCTGTTTCATTTTGCACACTAGTGCCTCTTGGACTTTATTTTGAGGTTAAAATACATGCTATTCAGAGTTCAAGGCAGGTGGTTAATAAGGGTGTGCAAACATTTTGACATTGAACCGGAGCTTGAAGTGGTTATTTCAAGCTTAAATTAGCTTGTTCCAACCATTCTGAATGCATTTCACACTCAGAAACTGCTATTTCAATTTTGAAATGTTTTCTATGCCACCAGCAGTCATCATTGCTAAAATCTGCGTACGGGATATAGTCGGTTATAGAGTCCAGGTTCTCATTTCTACTGAACCATGAGACAATTTTAGCTTTCTTTCTTTCTTTCTGCCAACATCAAAACACGGCTCACACTACAAAGTAAAAGGAACACAAGTGCCATGGCTGTGTTTCTCAACCTTTGGCCATTGTTAAGATGCATGGACTTCAAATCCCAGAATTCCCTAGCCAGCAAGGCTGCTGGCTGAAGAATTCTAGGAGTTGAAGTCCATGCATTTTACAATGGCTGAAGAGTGAGAAATGCTGCCAGGTGGTGTATTAGGCAGGGAAACTAGTGGTGCGGGAATCACTTTAACTTTTGAAGCACTACACTTTCCTTAAACCCTTCAGCCAAGGTGGCTTGAGTTTGCTATCCACCCTTAAGCAAAAGCTGTTTACATAGGTTTACTGTTATTGGTAAAAAAAAAATTAGCTTTGGGAGGATTGATGGAAAGGAGCTTCTAAAAAAGCACTTTTTAAAATGTGCTTTGTAGACAAATGGTGATTTAAAAAAACTTCATCTGAAAGGGCTGGGCTACATTTCAGATGCAGAGGCAAAAGGGGATTGAAAAACTGTAGGTTAGATACACATTGACAACACTTCAAAGCAGTGTTTCTCATTCCCCAGTAAGTTTTAAGATGTGTGGAGTGGGGAATTCTGCGAGTTGAACTTCCCAAAGTTGAGAAACACTGCTTAAAACCAAAGGCAGCTTGCATGGTTCTAGGTAGGAAAAGCCTGCAGGCAGGAGCTGCACGAGAGCTTCAGAGCATCTTTTTTTAACCTCTGAATTGCTGCACAGCTACATTACCCAGTCCTTTCCTTTTTTTAAAAAGTACTTGCTTTTGTATCATTTTTTTTTTGTTTTGCTTACTTGCCTGAGATAAAAGGGAGACGGTTTACTACCGTGTTTCCCCCAAAATAAGACCCTGTTTTATATTTTTGTTGCCACCAAAAAAAGGCACCAGCTCTTATTTTGGGGGAGGGGATTTTGTCCATTGACTCACCTCACTTGTGTGTGTCATCTCCGCTATCAGAGGCCTTCAGGAAAGCCTTGCTGGCTGCAGAAGAAATGGGCTGAGGTGTGCAAGGCCTGGCAGCAACTATCCAAAGGTAAGTAGTAGGGCAGCTCTACCCCACCCCACAAACCCACCTTAATTTTTACCCGTGCACCCTGGAGAGGGTGAGGTGTTAATTTGGGCTTAGTTTAGGAGTAGGGCTTACATTGGGTGCATGTGTAAAAATCAAGCTAGGACTTACTTTCTGAGTAGGTCGTACTTTCGGGGAAATACGGGCAGCAGCATTTGCAAGCCAGAGAGGAATTATAGAACTATGGCTCAGCGAGCATGGAAGACTCACTTGGGTGGATGTCCTCTGAAACATTTCCACCGACGGGCAAAGATAGCCCAGAACAACTGAACTGCTTAGTCCAAGTAGTCCTTGACTTACAACAGTTCATTTAGTGACTGTTTGGTTACAACGGCACTGCAAAAAGAGACTTGGGACCGTTTTTCACACTTTCGCACCATTGCAACTTCCCCAAGATCACGTGATCAAAATTAAGACGCTTGGCAACTGACTCATATTTAGGACGGTTGCAGTTTTCCCGGGGTCACGTGACCTTCTTTGCGGCCTTCTGACAAGCAAAATCATCGGGGAAGGCAGATTCGTTTTACAACCGTGTTACTAACTTAACAACTGCAGGGATTCACTTAACGGTGGCCAGAAAGGTCATAACGTGGAGCAAAATTCACTTAGGAAATGTTACACTTAGCAACATCAATTTTAGGCTCAATTGTGGTCGTTAATTAAGCTGAGGACGACTTGTATTGTCTTAACACACTGAGTTTCCATCCTGATGCTGCAAACAAATACCGCCTCCCACAACAAGAATTTGAAAGTAAGACAACTGGACAAGGAAGGTAAAGCAAAGTGCGCCTTTTTGTGAAAGAGGTTAATATATTTTCCTATATGCAAGCTAATAATGCACCACCCTCCATTCCAGTTTTGTCCCTTGAAAAGGGTTCTTATTGCACACGGATGTGAAAATGGGCTTCTTTCAGGTTTCCGTTTAGGGCATTCAAAGCAAATAGTAGAGTAAAATGCTACTTTGTATATAATAATTGCACCAAACAGCCAAATGCCCTTCTTTACAGAGCTGAAAGGGGGTATGAGTGTTGAAAGAAAACAGAAGCCGTTCTCAGCAGTGGCTGGGTACCCTCTGAAACCTTCCAGTTCCCAGCAACTGAGTCTTGCTACAGATGCCAAATGGCCAAACGTTTTCACGTTCCACCACGGAGGCTCTTTCTAAGATGGAAATTCGCTCTCATCCTTGAAGACAAATGGCCCGGTGCAGATTCTTCTGTGTGCGTAATTATATTCTTGTTGCTGTTCTGGATTGAATGGCAAGATGGCACCATCCACTGTAGTAAGTACTCCAAAAAAAAAAAAAAAAAAAGATGGACATGTCAAATAACAAGATGCGCCTCTGTCAAAGCCTCCATATATTGCCTTCCTTCTGAAGTGCCATCTAGGAAGCCCAGTCGTCTTCATCCTCTTCCCCAGGTGGCTGTTGTGGGGGTGGCAGGGGTGGAATGGTGTCTGAGATGCGGCCAAAGGCACCAGCTGGAACATTGGGCGCATTGCTGTCTCCACCAGCGGCTGGCCCTTTGCCTGAAATGCCTGCGGGAGAGGGAAGAAAAAGTAGAATGTGGCACCAAGAGATCCGGCACTTCCTCAAATGTCCAGCCCGGCCATCTAAGTGACAAAGATGGGGAAGTGCTGGCCCGGCAAGGAGAACCGAGACAAAGAGAAGCAAGTTTCTTAATTTACTCAGAATTTTTCGCAAAGAATTGCAAAGAAAACTCAAAGTAAGATGTAAAAGCTGCTAAGGAGGAGACTCCTACCTAGAGCACACATGGAAGCTTAAGTGCAGTGCTTTAAATCTAAAACTCACAAAGTCAGTTCCAGAGTCGGTTTGAGTATACACACCACATCTATCAATGCTTCCTTAAAGAAACTGCATTTCTCCCCCTTGGGTTACTATGATAGGTATATGGAAAATTAGTTGGAATTTAAAAAGTGCCAACAATGTACCATACCCACTACAAAGTACCTTGTAGTTTGTCACTGCCTGCTTAACTAATGTCTACTTTCCTGGGATTGTGGGGCACAGAAGGAGGGCATTAGCACAGTGGTCCCCAACCTTTTTTGTGCCACGGTCCGGTACCAGCATCACAAAATGATCCGCGGCCCAGTATCGGCATCAGCATGCATGACAAGGCAAGGTGAGCCGAGCGACTGGCCAGCCAGGCGTCCCCCGCTTCTCCCCGCCACCTTCAACTCCTCCTTTGTACCTTTGTCGATGGGCTTCGCTTTGGGACAGCTTCCGGACGGTCACTTGGCTCGCCTTGCCTTGGGTGCTGAAAGAATCCTAGTGCCTTAGTTTCGTTCGAAGCCCCCCAACCCCCTCGATGAAACTAAGGCGCGAGGATTCCTTCAGGACCCAAACAGCGCTTTCCAACCGGAAAAGCTCACCCGGAAGCACTTTCTTGTCAAACAAGATGGCGGTGCCCAACAAACCGGCGGCCCGGTAGGAAATGTTCCACGGCCCGGTACTGGTCCGCGGCCCGGTGGTTGGGGACCCCTGCATTAGCAGGTACAGGCCTGTGTTTATTCTGAAATACCTTTCTGACTTTGGATTCAAAGTGGTGGATGTTCCTAGAAAAATCACAAGCCTATTGCAAATCCTGTGAAATAACAGTTCACCAAATCTGGATAGCCACGGGGGGCTCTGCATTAGATTATCTCATACTTAGGCTAAAACCTGGATCAGATTTGCTTCGCCTGATGGCTTCATCTTAGCCAAAATGAAAGTGATGGGCTTGATGCTCTCTGCCAGGGGTGCCAAACTGGTGGCCTGTGGGATGGATGCGTGATGCACAGGCCGCACAGCACCCCAGCATGGCGAGTTTGACACCCGTGCTCTATGCAAACCAAACCTTTCAGCCTTCCCTGCGCAGAATTGATCTGTCGCTGCTATTTCTTCTTGATAGCATTGTTCCCCTAACTAGGAGAAGCAGATCAAGTAAATAGCTAGATACACAACCACACAATATGATAAACTTTTAAAATGTTAGTGGTTTGATTTGTGTTTGGTTATATATGTTACAGTTTGTTAATTCAGCCCACTTATTTAATTAAGGACTTAAATGGCAAACCTAGAAAATGGGTTGATTCAGTAAGAAGTATGTTCCCTGAATGGGATTTATTAACCTTTTTTTCTGAGTGGAGCTCAGAATGGTTTTGATTGTTCTATCTTGTTCCTATTCTTGCCTCTCTGTCTCAAACACTGGTGGTTTTTAATTTTAGAAACAATCATAAGAAATTCATAACTTAGCTTTTAATCCTAGTTACAGTGAAAAGAAAACTTTTGTTTTCTGCTGATAGGAAATCTTAGCTTTGTTCGCTGCACCACTGGGGAGAAACCGCAACAAGCTTCTTTACCTTTGCGCCGGAGGACCAGTTTGTTAAAAAGATCTGACATCAGATCTCCGCCTTGCCCAGTAGCTCCCACTGGAGGAAACACAAAAGGAGAAATCAAACACTGAAGATAGCAAACAGGAGAAAATCAGGAATATGCTGGCAAATAGGATGGATGAATAGTTTTGGATGAAGTCTTCACATAGGATTGTTATCCCAATCTATTCAGCTACACTGGGGAAAAAATATCATAGGCATTCTCATAAAATACAGTACTTTCTTGGCGGATGCTCTCCATCATCTCTAGACCAATGATCATTACATTGATTTAATCATTTTACCCAAGGTTGCAGAAACAAACTGCAAAGGAGAATGTACGTGCTGGGATGGATGTGATGCTTTTTGCTATTGGTTTCATCATTACATTCGAGTTTTAAAAAGCTTAATACCCAATATGAGAGCCATCATTACCCTCATGCGGTGAGATTATTCTCTAGTGGTTTGGTAGAAGTGCAGAGAAAACTGGAGACTGCCATACAGAAGGGTTATCCGACTGGATCCAACCTTGGCAGCTTTAAGACTTGTGGACTTCAACTCCCAGAATTCTGGGAGTTGAGGTCCACAAGTCATAAAGTTGCCAAGGTTGGAGACCCCTGGTCCATGAATCCAGAGAAGGCATCTTACATCTTTTCAGTGGATGCAGGGCACCTGGCTGCAAATAGTGCTGCAAACAGTGGTGTGCTACCTATCACAATAGAGACCCAGGGTACAAAGGGTACCAATTGGGCATACATTTCACAATTATACTAACTAGACTTGAACCTTTGGCATAATAGTTTCTCCCTGTCTGATTTGGTCTTGAAGGATGAGCATGCCAGAGTCCCATTGACTTAAGTCTACGGACTAACTGCCTTTTCTGCCACAGGGCCTGCCTTAGGAACAATCTCCCTCTGGAGAGTAGGATTGCCCCGATCCTGCTGACTTTTTAGTAAGGCTCTAAAAACCCGAGCCTAAGGCTCCTGAGTATGTGAAGGGACCAGTCTTCTTTCTCAGTTTGTTGACGTGTTATTTCCTATGCATTTCAAATGTGCATTTATGGTTGTAATTGTTTTTATTTTTATTGAGAAGGTTTGTTACCCAGAGTCATTTGTCACTTACTGAAATGGGTGGCTAAACAAATGTGTTAAACATTTTATTAAATAAATAAAATTCATTAAGTGGATAAAAATAAATAAAAAAGTAAACAGATGTTCAGGTGGAGCCAAGGAAATCGAAGACTATGCTATTAAAAAACGAAAAAGCCAACTTGCATTTTCAAGAAGCAGCTCTTTTCATACAGCTTTCCTGCTTCTCGATATTACCACATTTGCTAAATTTATTTTTCCTAAGAAAAGTGGGTTTGGGACAGAAACTAGTAAATATCACTATTTAGATAGGAGTCTTATGCAAATAAATAACTAAAATCCCCTTGAACTTGGCATTTGGACATCCATCTTTATTTTATGTTAGTTTGGTCTAGATTGACCGAAAATATTTGTTGTTGTCTCTCAGAATGAACCATGTTTGGTGTAGCGATCAAGGGGTGTAGAAGCATGGCGCTCAAGGTATTGTCCAGACTCTGGCATCCATCATCTCTGATTGAGGAAGGAACTGAAGGGAATTAAGGGTCCAATAACCCCCTTGAAGGCAACACATTTCTCTGCCATATAGTAATGTATTCTAATAGTCAAAAATACATAATGCATAATATTAACTACCATTCAGATATCTGATAGATGCTTCAAAGTTTGATTCACCCTGATGGCGTAAAGCATGCAGTCAGATTGAAGTACAGGAAGGTGCCTAGGGTAGAAGGAGTGTACCTTGCTCCTTCTCTTTCTGCTTTTTCTTTTCTAGTTTCCTCTCTTTGACACTACGGAGCTTGGCCTTCCCAATGCCACCAGCTTGGCGGATGGATTCCAGAAGAGTGGCCCGGCCACTTGATGGATTCACAACTTCTTTTGGTGCTCCTTGAACAGCAGCTGCAGAAAAGTAAATTCATTGCAATGCTGTTAGGCTACTGACAGAAGATGCCTCCCCTCCCCCCAAAAATCTGCTGTTTTGCATTAAGAACTTTATAGTTTGATTCTGTGAGACTCAGCTTTTATCAAACCATTGTCTATTTTCTCAAGATTGTTTTTTCTTGAGTATTTTAGTTGGTTTCTAATGTATGCTCTGGGAAAATGGGATTTTCCACACAAAATATAACATTCACTAATACTAATGTCGGAAGCTCTTCCAAAGTGAAAGGATTTGCTGGTGACATCACGGCTGCCCGGGGGACACCTGGTTGAGGGCTCCTGTCATGTCCACATGAGATTGCCCACTGACGTGATACCCATTTCTCTACTTGAGTTGCCCTTTCAAACTGCTGGGTTGGCAGGAGCTGGAAACATGTGATGAGAACTCACCCTGTCCTGCAGCAGCAATAGGTCTCGAACACGAGCTGCTGATTGTCAGCCCAGCGTTCTAACCTTGTGAGCCACCCCACCCCACCATAATGTTCACTTCTGAGACAGAAGAATTCTCAGGAATTCAATCCTGTATCTGCAGCGACGTTCTCCATGTTAGTATCCTCTATATCTGTGGGACCTTTAGCTTTCATAATTAACAGCCAACATAATTATTAGCAATTGTTCCTGGGGATGTCGGATCAACATTTGGAAGGCGTAAAAGTTTTGGGAAGGCTACACTAGTGCTTATTAGTTCTGATAGCAGAATGGAACCTGCATATTCTGATGCCTTAAATGTCTCTAGTCCATCAAGTATCAGATAGAAAGACAAGGAGATGCGTATACACCTTGTGATTTTTTTTTAGCTAGCCGCAGCTGTCTATACAAGAAAGAGAAGCTACTTTAGAGGGAACCTGATCTATTGCAAAAATTTCCACCTTTTTAGCGCTGTTTCCAGGAAAGGGAGGCTACCTGGCTTTCACTGCAGCTAACAAAACCTGATATAATGTGCTAATTAGGGGTTAGCCAGGAATCAAAAAGCTATTGGTTTGAATCTCAGTCTTTCACACTGCTCCAACTTTTCCACCACTCACAATATAATAGGAAATCAATATCAGTGATTTCTCTTATAGAATGATTGTAAGTTTAGTCAACTAGATCAATCCTGTATCTGCAGCATTTTGAACATTTGCAAGGTAGTAACTGTTCTACAGTTACTGATCAAAACTATTGAACAAAATCACACAGCCAGTTCTTCTATTTTCCAGGGCATGTAGGCTTCACTGAGATAAATATGCTGCATATGATAGCTGGCTGCTATCTCAATAATAGCATTAAGTGAGTGGCTTCCCAACTTTAATCCTCCAGTCTTACCAGATGGCATGGCATTGCTTCTGTCTTCCCTCGTTTGAGATTCAGAAGGAGGTGGCGCTTGTGGAAGAGGAGGGGGAGGTGGGATATGAACAGGAATTTCAGGGGGAGGGGGTGGAGGGGGAGGGGGAGGAGGGGGAGGTCCCCCCTCTTGAAGATCTAAAACAATAGAAGAAGGGACACAAATTAGTATTCACGTATACCGTGGAAATGCTCTGCCGATCTCTAGCGATCTGCTCGACTGTTTTAGAGTTTCGTTCCTCGAGTTTCAAAACTGCATTATTTCCAATTTGTACCTTCATGCTTTCGAAGGGGACGTACCCTTTTGAACATCAAAAAGTGAAGAGAGTAGCCCTGGGTGGTTAATCACCACGGGGCTTATTGGCACACTCCTCTGGAAGTTTACCTGTTGCGCTAAACCACCACAAATTTGATTTACCTTAACATGAAGTGTAACTCTAGGCAACCTGGTCTGTAAATCAGTTTATTGCCTAAGTGAATTTGTAGGCCAGAAGTACTGCAGTACACCGACATCCTTGAAAGAGCAGAAAATCAACTAACTAAGAAGCGACACAACACAGCCGGGGGGGCCTTTTAGGCTGTTGAGTTCAACCCCATGCTCAGTACAGAAATCCAGATTAAAGCATTTGTACTAGTTGGCTGACCAGCTTCTGGTTCAACACGTTCAGTTAACCATCTCCCTCAATAACTTGTTCTGCTGTCAGACTTACTTCTTATGATTAGGTAGCTTTTCCAAGCATTCAGCTAAAATTGTCTTCCTGTCATTTACAGATTATTATTTTCTGTCTTGTAGGATGATAGATAGTGACTGTTTTTCTCTGCAACACTCCCTTCTGATATTCAGTTGTCTTGATTTGGAGCTAAACAATCAATCTCAATCTTTTTGGGTGCGGCTTGGTTTTCAGTGTTAAAACCTGTTGCTTTATCATCTTGGGGGGAAAAGTTTGAATCCTGAAAGACTGGAGCTCTGAACTTGAGGCAGCATTCATAGATGACCGAAGCATACCGGAATAGAACTATTACTTTCTTTGATTTGGAGAGTGAACCACTATTAATACAATACAAGAGCACACAATAGATACAAACTCAAGGTAAACCGCACCAAACTCGACTGCAGGAAATATGACTTCAGCAACAGAGTGATCAATGTCTGGAATACTCTACCTGACTCTGTGGTTTCTTCTCCAAACCCCCAAAACTTTTAACCTTAGGCTATCTACTATTGACCTCACCCCTCTCCTAAGAGGTCTGTAGGGGGCGTGCATAAGTGCACCAACGTGCCTACCGTCCCTGTCCTATTGTTTATTTTTATTTTTCTTATATGTATCCATTTCATGTATTCATAACTATGTTTTTATACTTATACCTGTTATCTTATAATTGCTTGACAAAATAAATAAATAAAATAAATAAATACAACCAAAAACTGTGTTTTCTTTTCTTTTTTGGTAGCAACATCAAACTACAGATACACTCATACAAATCAAGGAAATGACTTGGTTCTTCCATAAGCAAATAGTTTTATAGTTTCATAAACCAATAATAGTGGTTTATTGTCTGCCAGCTAGATGAATCTCACTGCTTCCTAAGCTACAATAAAAACAAGAAGGATTACTGTCTTCTCCGTGCTATTATTTGCAGATGTTCGCACGGAGCATAAAGGAAAGTAAGCGATACCTAGGGTCTTATTATTTAAGCTAGTGTCAAGAAAGCCAAGAAACATAGACTTAAAACGGATTAATAGTTTGCCAATATGCTAGATCAGGGGTGGGGAAACTATGACCCCTTTATGACTTGTAGACGTCAACTCCCAGAATTCCCGAGCCAGCTGGGAGTTGAAGTCCACAAGTCATAAGGGGGGCATAGTTCCCCACCTCTGTGCTAGATGATGAAAAGCACAAGGATTCTTAAGCCAAAAAGGGAATAAAAAGATCAAAACATCTCCCCACCAGCAATCAGTACCCAACTGAACATACAGTAACTCCAAGATAAACATCAGGCCAACAATCAAGTAAATAATACCCCAATCAAGGAACTGTCAAACAAGTCAACAGTAAATCAAAGAAGCTCTAAGACCACCTTAGGCCAAGCCACTAGAACAGAGCTCTTCAAACTTGGCAACTTTAAGACTTGTGGACTTCAACTC